GACCAGAGCTTCTCTCTGCAGCATGGCCAGGCGACCATCCTGCTCTAGCTGTGTGTCAGCTCCTTTGGCCTTCCTGGGACCCACTTTTGGAGATTCCGAGCTCTTGCTGGAGGCACGTGGCACAGGGGAAGAAGTCACTGTGCCCTGGGTTTGGGAACCACCACTCACTCGAGGGAGGTCCCTCTCAGGCAAGTCTCTGACTCTCTCTAAACGGGGAATGGTTGCAAGTAATAGCCACCATTTGCTGCAAAATCAAGGGCTGGTGATTGGCTCTCAGCCAATCAAGAGCATTAGCTCTTGATTTCCTCAAAGCAGGACCAGAACTAGGGACCTGATTCTTAGATGGGGAAGCTGAGGCTTGAGACTGGGTGACTTGCCTAAAGGACTTCGTGGTAACACCCAGTGGAGCTGGGATTCAGACTCCACTGGCCTGACCCCAAAGCCTGTGCTTCCCCTGGGGGCTGGGAGGCTCAGGTGCAGACAGCGACGTTATAAACGCTGAAGTGCTGTCTTCCTGTTGGATATTATAACATGCCCTCCCCTGATTCTCCAGCAGAGGTAGGCAGCCAGGTTGGCTGGGGTATGGGCAGAGGAATGGGCTCAGGGGCTTCAGAGCTGGTCAGACTCCCAGGGCACGGAGCTCAATGGTGGGCTGGGACCCATGAGGGGGAACTGATGGGTTTCTGCAGGCCCCGGTCTGGATGCGGGGTGAGGCTTAGGATCCAGGTAACACGGGTGGTTAGTGTCCTTATCCCCTGCCCTCAACCCTTTTACCCCATCTTTTTTGGGAGCCTTCTCTGTGCTAGGCTCTTTGCTGGGAGCTTTTCGTACCTTGGAGTGGAGTCTGGCTCAGGTTTATGATGAGAGTTTGCCGGTAGGAGTTAGATTTAGGCTCAGGACCCCGCCTAGGGGCAGCTGTGCCCAGGAGAATGTGGTCAGGGGTGGGCGCAGAGGGGAGAGGCGAGCCTGGGCACGGCCCCCCAGATGGCCCCGGCACTCACGCAGGCTCCTCCCCAGAAGGGGACGCCGCCCTCGATGAAGAGCATCCCCACGTGGCCGCGGCGGACCATGAGCAGCACGCTGCCGAAGCCCAGGTGGATGAGGCCGATGAGGATCTGGACGGTCTGCGGGGAGCGGCGGCGGCTCAGCCAGGCGGGCGGGGCCAGCTCCACAGCGCCCCCTGCCGGCCGCCGAGGAGAGCGCGGCCCGGCCCTGCGCTCTCCCCGCGAACGGTCAGCGACTCGGAAATAAACTCTGGTTCTTTTGAGGAGACATCGTTATAACAGCCATAAAAGACCATTTTAAGAAGGAAAGCCAGTTCCCCACCGCCTGCGGGACCCACCCTTCTCTTTCCCTGTCTCAACGGGTTTGCATCCTGCTTTGTGCTCTGACCTACGCGTCGCGAGCATCGCTGTGTGTTGCTACCTGGTTTTCTTCTCCCTCATTTCAATGACACAGCATTTCCTGCGCTGAATGCCTCACCTTTTCCTTCCTCCTCCCCCTACAGCCTGCACTGAAGAGCACCTTGAGCATCTTTCTCATCTGAGCGTCTATCTCTGAGCCATCCCGGCCGCGTGTTGGACCTGCTTCCCATCCAGCTGAAATCTGGACTTGGGTTTTATTGTTTGTTGTTTTCCTGGCACCCCACTGATCCGTGCCTGGAAGTGGGATGGTTTTTCCCAAGGATGAGGATATGTGTGCTTCTGGTAAATTCTGCCACATTTCTTCCAAATGTTTTTGGTAACAATTGAATTCTAGAAGTGACTGGAAAGGGACATGGGAAGCCCCTAAATTCAACCTCTGCCTGATCCAGGAGCCCTTTCCAGCTCCTGACTTTTAAGTGGACTCTTTCCATGACTAGCTGCTCACCACCCAAACCTGCGTGGTCCATTTATGGGTAGTTCTGACTGTGAACAACTAGAATCATGTTCTGGGGTCATGTGGAACATATATGTCTTTCTAACATGAGTGTCAAGACTTTGGATATTTATAGGCATGACCTCTCGAATCTTCTCCCTTCTGTTCTCTCTTTGGCTGCGTGTCTTTCATCTTCTCAGCTTCCTTATGGGGCGTGGTGTCCCAGCTGCCAATGCCACTTTCCTTCTCGGCAGGTCCTTCTTCTGCCACTAACCACCACCGCTACAGCCATTAGTCCTCACAAAACACCAGCTGCTGGTCACCGAATGCCTGTCTACGCTAAGCAATGTGCTGGGTGTTTTATCATCTCCCTCCTTCCTTTGCTCATTACATTCCAGCCATGTCCACCTTCCATTTCATGCTTGAACAAGCCACACTCATTCCCACCCCAAGGCCATTATCTCATTGAACCCTCACATGATGAGGTAGGTACTATTATCCTAATTTTGGAGATTAGGAAAACAAGTTTCAGAAATGTTAAGTAACTTGTCTGACGTCTCCCAGCTATGAAGTGGCAGGCCAGGTAACTCTAAAGCTGGCAGTCTTCTCCCTGAGTGACATTCCCTAACATCTATCTGTAGTTGCCACTTTTATTCTTTTCAATAATTTGTGTTTGTCTTGTCAAATGCCTCTGGAGGTCATCGGTTCCCAGAGTCTGCTCTGAGGTTTCAGGATTCCAGCAATTGATGACTCCATCTTTGTTCACTATCTCTAGTCCCTTCATGCACCCATGGACTTGGTGCAGCGTTTAGTGTAGAATCCTAAATTCCAGAATGTTCAAGCCAAAGCTCCTTCATGCTACAGAGCAGTGAGGTTGAAAGTAGAACTTTACAGTCAGGTCATCCTCAGGTACAGGATACCACTTACCAGCTGTGTGGCCTTGGGCCAGTGATTTAGCCTTGACAAGCCTCAGTTTCCTAATCTGTCAGAAACTAGGAACTAGGATCCCTGTCTCACAAGGTGGCAATGAGAATGGAAGGAGACAATGCATGCAAATTCCTTGGCACAGGGTGTGCACGTCTCAGGGGGTGCTCAGTAAATGAGAGCTGTCATCATCATCATCATCATCATCATCATCATCACCATCACCATCATCATCACCATCCTCACCATCACCACCATGATCATCACTATCACCATCATGATCATCACCATCACCACTATGATCATCACTATCACCATCATGCTCATCACCATCACCATCATCATAACCATCATCATCATCACCACTGCATAAGCTATGTTTTCATCTTCCACTTGGAGAAACTAAGGCCAAGGGACACACTGAAGACACTATACATGTATATATAGATGAATACGTACATGTAACTATCAATTGTCTAATATTTTATCTCCTTCCAGAGACCAATATCTCCAGGCCATCTGAGATTGGAGAAGATCTTAGAGGCCATCTTCCATGGACTGTCAGCCCAGAGCTGGCCCTGGGCTACCACCTCAACTTCATCTCATCCCCCTCCTTCCTTTGCTCATTACATTCCAGCCATGTCCACCTTCCATTTCACCCTTGAACAAGCTGCACTCATTCCCACCCAAGGCCTTTGCACTTGCTGTTCCTTCTACGTGGTGAGCCCTTGTCCCCAGGTCTTCCCTTGGCTGGCTTCAGCCCAGCATCTAGGTTTTAGCTTCAATGTCATCTCCCCAGAGAGACCTCCCTGTCCACTCCTGCTAGTGTTGCCCCTCCCCCATCCATCATTTTCGACCTCATTACCCTATTTGGAGTTATCTTAGTCATTTGTTAACTGATTTATTCTCTGAGCACTACTGGGGAAGGGTCCTTGTCTGTCTGGTGCAGGACTGAATCCTAAGTATCTATCAACTGCCCCTTCTCCAAGGTGTGCGTGAATGCTCCAGGGCTGGGGCGCTCCCTCCCTGCCCAGCACCCTCGCCTCACAACGGTTGTCCGCAGAAGCTGTTCTTACCCCTAGAGCTTTGGGCTCCCCGGTCAGGAATGTCTCCATGGGCCGCGGGTCCGGCGGCTGAGTGGCCCTCGGCGTCTGCGCCCCCAGCGGTGGCTCCTCGAACTGCATCCTCCCGGGAGGCTGGCACATGGCGGTGGGCAGAAGGGGTGGAGGTGGGCGGAGGCCGCTGGCGTTGCTGGGCGGGATGACGACAAACACCCCGTTGCTGGCGGGAGCAGCGGACATCGTGCTCAGAGAGCCTGGGACACAGAGGCTCGGGGTATAATAACGATACGATGATGGTTACACATTTGCATAGAGCTTTTTAGTATAAACAACATGCCTACCCACCTCTGCTCACTGCAGCCCCTGAGGATGGCACCAAGATCTCTGACCGTCTGTGCGGAAGCTTTACTCAGAGAAGTGAAGGGACATCCGAGGTCAAGGGCCTCTGGGAGAGGCAAGGTCAAGACTTGAATTCTTGTCTCTCTGACACTAGAAGCCATGTTCTTAATGTCTGTGCTGTTACATAAAAGGACCTATAGAAGGAGCATGTATTTAAACCTCCTTTCCCTAGAGAGGGCAAGTGACTTGCTCAAGAACACACAGCTAGTGCGAGGCAGAGCTGAGCCAGCACTTCTCGTGTCCCCCACCGCATGACCGGAACTCACCCTCCATTTCCCGTCCCACAGCCCTGCTGCGCTACTGAGTTTGTGTAAATTATCCCTCAGGGTGATTTCCTGCTGTGAGAGGCTTTCTCTCTGGTTACCCAAGCCATTGCCATTAATGTAGTCGATATGCATGGATTATGGAAAGTTCCTGTGTGGCTGGCCAGAGCACACACTTTGGTGGACCCCCACCCCCAGCTGTTAGGAGGTGAGTTTACTAGGAAACAGCAGAGTGATGAATCTGCCAGATTATACAGTGAAATTAAAACAGTCATCCTTCTCATCGGCATTAATTGGTGCAGCACGCAGCTCTGGAGATAGAAGCCAGGATTTGAATCCTGGCCCCTCTAGCTACTGTGAGATGTGGGGCAAGACGGCCACCTCCTCCTGCCTCAGTTTCCTGGTAACATGGGAATGATAACACTGGTACCCATCTCATAGGGTTTGGTGAGAGTTAGGTTGAAATAACACACACAAACCTGATAAAAGCCATCCTTTAGGTGTGGATCTAAACAGGGGTCAGACATAGAGTCCATGCCCTTAAGGAGCTTAGAGTCTAGTAGGACGAGCAAGAGAAGTTTGCATTTCAGTCCAACAAACCATTATTGAGCATTTACCGAGCACCAAGCTTGGGAGGGGGATACAAAGATGAAGGAAGCCGGAATGTCTTCCCTCACAGCATCTCAGAGGGAGAGCAGGGCCACTGCTGGAAGAGAGAGGTGGGTGGAGGGAGGGGGAACTGATTCGACCCTGAATGTGGAACTCAGGGATGTCTTCACGGAGGACCTGGACCTACAGCAGGGGTCCTCAGAGGCTCCTCTGCTGTCACCTCTCTCATCCAATGTTCCTCTGCTTTTGTCTTTCTTCTTCAGTCTCTTTCTCCTTCCACACCCATTGGCCTCTTCCCTCCCTGCCAGACATATTTGGGAAGCGTAGACAGTTGCTGAGGTCATTGCTAAAGATTTCCTGGTCTGAGAGTCTAAGAAAATGGGATGAGAGAGTGAGAGGGCAGAGAGATGGCGAGTCCAGGCTGAGGAGGACACACCCGCCCCACGAGTCTTTGCTTCTTCAGTGTGAATAATGACCATTGACGCCCTCACCTCATTCTAAGGGAGAGACAGGCATGGACTATTAGTTGTGCTTAGAGATGAAGAAACAGGTTCAGAGAGGGTGAGGGTGTCTTCCAAGGTCACACAGCACCTCAGTGGAGGAACTGGGATAGATCCTGGACTCCCATCTCTCAGTAGAAGGATGCTGACTTTATGTGATTCATCCACTCCTGGGTTTGAATTCTACTTTGTCAGAGCGAGCGGACCAATGCTTGTACTTCACTCTGTGAAGTAATAGTTCTAAAATGCTTGGTGTTCGCAGATGAGTAAATTAAAAACAAATGGGGACTGAAGAGTTTGCCAACGCTCCACTTCCTCAAGCAAATTCATTTAAAGAAATCATCCATGTTCTCACCATCATCTAGAAAGAATATTTAACACCTGAGAGGGAGGAAGGACATAATTTCAGAACAAAAGGACAGAACCTTTAAATGGAACAAATTTCACTCGGTGAAAACCCCACGGCTCTGACTGTATAGTTGTCATTTCATCAGGGACAGGGGAAGACTGTGCCTGAGATCCATGGCAATTGGTGGCAGGGTCATGAACGTTCTCTGGGGTCCCCAAGGGCCAGCGCCACGGCTGGTTGGCTGGTGGGGCCTGAGCAGCCCCAGAAGGGAGCACACGTGGAATTATAGCATCTCTCCCAGGCAAGTGGTGAGAAACGCACTAAAACCGAGACCTCACCCTCCTTAGGAGAAGAGAAAACACCTACAAAAATAGGCTGTCTGCTGATAGCATGGGTTAAGTGGCAATTGGGGGCATGAAAGTGTCACATAGTCCCTGAGCCTCACCATCTGCTCTCTCTACCCAACCCCCTGCAGCCACCACCAGCACCTTTGCAGCCTGAGGCCAGGGACCACCCCTCTGTCTCATTCCAGAGACCACCTGGCCCATGCCCCTGGCTCTGTGGCAGCTAGAAAGAGAACTCTTTTTTCCTTACTAGCCCATCAGCCAGTGCACCCTGAACACTAATGCATGTGTGCCAGAGAGAGGCAGGTGGAAGAGAGGGAAAGTCATGGTCCCCTGCCTCCAGGTGCTTGCAAGGTACCCACAAGGGGAACAGCTGCCTGTGACAGAGACCCAGGAAACACCTAGACATCAGCAGTAGGCTGAATGAGCAGTGGTAGTGCTGGTCACTCACATGCACTGCCTTTGACAGTTTGTAAAGAGTTACCATCTGGGGGCTGGCCCCGTGGCTTAGTGGTTAAGTTTGGCACACTCCGCTGTGGCAGCCTGGGTTCAGTTCCCAGGTACAGACCTACACCACTCATCAGCGGCCATGTTGTGGCAGTGACCCATACAAAATAGAGGAAGATTGGTACAGACGTTAGTTCAGGGCAAATCTTCCTCAGCAAAAAAAAAAAAAAAAAAAAAAGAGTCATCATCTGTATGAGAACTACAGATCCTTACAACAGCCCTGTGAGGTAGGTGTTACTCAGCCCATCTTGCAGACCAGTAAACTGAGGGTCAGAAATTGCAGCTTGGTAGAGTGGGACAGGCCCTGGGCCTTGAAGACTGACATATTTGTCAGAGATGGTAAAACAAAAGTTTCAGGGGCCGGCCCGGTGGCGTAGTGGTTGGGTTCACGCACTCTGCTTCAGCAGCCCAGGGTTTGCTGGTTCGGATCCTGGGCACAGACCTACCCACCACTTGTTAAGCCATGCTGTGGTGGCATCCCACATTTAAGGTACAGGAAGATGGGCATGGATGTTAGCCTAGGGCCATCTTCCTCAGCAAAAAGAGGGGGATTGGCAACAGATATTAGCTCAGGGCTAATCTTCCTTACCAAAAAAAAAAAAAAAAAACCAACCCAGAAGTTTCAGCTGCCACCAGACACTGGAGTGAGCTATCTCACAGGCAGCCCAGCAGGACTTGCAAAAAGCAGGTGACCGAGAACCTGCTGCGTGACTTTGCACCCTCTTCTGAAGGGTTGAGAGTGGAGATTGAGAGAGGATTTTGGAAGAGGACATTCAGAGTGAGCTGAGCACTGTGTGTGTGTAGGGGAGGAGAATGCATCCCTGTTCACCTTGAGATGAGACAGAAAGGCTTGTGGTAAGGAGACTTGGGGAAATTGATGGGTATCCCCTGCATTTTGGATATGCCAGACTCCTGAGTTGAAGGAGGAGTTGTTGGGGATACCTACAGCAGAGAGACCCCCACACACGGGGAGGTGCCTCCATAGACCCCATGAAACACCTCTGCAGAGAAGTCGGCTTGAACACCGCCCGTCTCAGGGAGGGTGAAACCAGCTCACAAGAGCAGCAGGCAAGTGCAGCCTTCCCTACCTCCTCCATCTCCTCTTTCCCTTTATCCACCCAGGAGAGGGCAGCAACTGCAGTTAGCCAGCTGGGGAGGAGCAGGGGAAGCAGGTGGAGAAGCCAGGGGAGGCCACCAAGTCCCCTTCTTACCTGCGGTGTGCTGGGCTGAGGACCCAGGTGCCCTAAACGAGCTGTGACATAACACAAGACTGGATGCTCCGATGACTAAATAGGGGCTGGCTGTCTCATCTGAGAGCAGCAGAAAAGTCCTTGGAATGCCCCAATGTCACCTTACATCGTAGCTGTGAGTTTTAAAAGGATAATGCCCATCTAGTGCCCAGCACGGTGCCTGACACACAGCAGCCATTCAATGCCTTTTAGCTTCTGTTGTTGTTAACAACCTTATGAGGTAGGTACTGTTACTATTTTGCTCATGAGGAAATCGAGCTCAGAGATGTTAAGTGAGGTGTATGATCTTGGGCCAGTCACTTATTCTTCATGAGCCTCAGTTTCCCTGTCTATGAAGTGGGGCAGAGGGATGGTCCTGGTGGGTCCCTGAAATCCCTTCTAGCCCTCGAACCCTGCTTCTCTAGGACTTGGGGAGATGACCTGTGCTCTTCCTGGGAGCTTTTCTCCAGGACCCTCCTGGGCAGGCAGAGACCCAGCGGCTCTGCACACGCCGTCCAGGAGAGAAGGCTCATGACCTGTCATTTTGAAGATGAGCAAGGTGATTTGCCCAGGGCCACATGGTCAGGATAAGGGATAGAGCTGGGACACAAACCGAGGTCCTCTGACTCTACATCCTGCTGTTTCCCAGCTCCCAGTGGCCCCTCGAATCTAGGGGCCACACTGCTGGGACACAGGGGCTGCACCAGATGGCCTCGGCAAGCCCCAGGACGCTGACTCCACTTGGCTCCCTTGACTGATCCAAGGTCTCCTGGTCCAGCACTAACTCATGAACATCCCTGCCTTTGGCTGAGCCGAGCCTTGTCATAGGCTGAGCCACCCCTAAGCAGCCAGGACTTGTCTCGTGAGCATCTCTGGGCATCATCTTTATTCACAAGGAGCCAGAAGCAGCTTTGTTCATTCACAGTGGACCAGCATGGAGTGGGTCTTACCAGCTGAAGGAGAGAGGCTCTAAGGGGGGTGTCTTGGATGAAATGCACAGGAACACATCCTGGGTGGGGGGAACTGCACATCTGCACCTCTGTGGGGAGGCAGCTTTGCTCAGTGGTTAAGGTCATAGTCCATGGGGTTAGCCTGGGTAGAATCTACGCTATCACCCTGCGAGCTTAATCAGCTGCATGACCTTCGGCAAGTTGCTTAACCTCTCTGGTCTCAGTTTCCCCATCTGTCAAATGGGAGGCTGTGAAGTTGGTGGGACATTAGGTGCTCCAGGCTTCCAAGGCTGTCTACTTCCCCTGTCTACAGCTATGCCTCCTGGCCCCGCCACTTTGTTGCTCAGGCAGGAATTTGCCCCTCTATCTCAGTCTGACCCTGTGGCATTAGGCTGGCAAGAGGCTGTCTGGGATCCTCTGATCCCAGCCCTTCCAGGACAGCCCAGACCTGCCCCACTAGCCTGGAAAGCATGCCGACAGAGGCAAACAAACGATGGAGGAGGGCAGGCCTCCCCGGTCCCCACACCCACTAGGCTGGACCACACCCACCGCCTGGTCCCTCAGCAGGGCTCTACTCTGCTTTGCTACCCACCTCCCAGTGAGGTCCTGGGTGGGGGACAGCCCCTTCCCTTCGCTGGGTCTCCATTTCCCCATCTATAAATGAATGGTCAGCCAATGTTTGCCCCTAAGCCCCTTTCCAGCTCAAAATCCCTGCCAGGTCCTTCTGTTTCCCTTGGAGAAGGGAAAGGGCAGGGCACCTGCGTCTGGGTTGGGGTCACCTTTCTGGCCCCCGTGGGATGGGGGGGGTGAGAGTGGGTGGAGAGGAAGACTCCATTTCCCAGGGAGGATGGTTAGGGTCCTAGGGTGTCTAGGGGATACCTCAGTCGTCTCAGTGGCTGGCTTTGAGGACAGAAGACAGACGCCCCTCCTTTACAACCACCATCTGTGCAGTGGGGCCCGTAGGGCCAGAGCTGGCAGGTCCCCGTCATTGGGAGGCCAGTAGTTCAGACAGCCTTGGGAGCTGTCATGCTGCCAGTTAGTGACAGGTGGGGTAATACCCACCCATGGCAACCTTCTCTGCCCCATGGTCTCTCCCTCCCTCCTTGCCTGGGATCTGATGCACCCCTGCCCCACTTCCCTCATATGCCCCGGGGGGTGGGTGGCCTGGCCGCTGCTCCTGGAAGGGCCGTGGGTACTCACCGGGCTGCCACTGCCACTGCGCTCGCCGCTGCTCGCTCCCCGCTGCCTCTGGTCTCCTGCAGCTGCCTCTCCTGAGTTCACACATATTCGTGTGAAAGGCTTGCTGTTCGTGTGGGACTTGGAAATCTGCTCTGCTTGTGAGCTGCCACCTCTGGGAAGTTCTCAAGTCCCTCCCAGCTCTGAGGCCTCTACCCATCTGGACAGACTGAGGGGGCCGAGGAAGCTGCTGGTGGAGTCATTGGCCTCCGGCCACAAGAGCCCTGTAGGAGGGTCTAGTTCTTTCCTTCAATCTACAGTAGGGGAAACTGAGGCCCAGAGAAGCAAGTGGGCTGCCAGGGTCCCGCTGTTAGTGTCAGAGCTGGGTGTGGGGTCCACATTGGCCTCTACTCTCCTGAAGCTGTGGATCATGTGGCTGCCTGACTTTCTGCCACCCGAACTTGTCCGATGTTAGATAGGAGGGGCCGGGTGGTTAGTCCACAGCTTTCCAGTGGCAGGGGGCAGAGTGTGTGAGTGTAGGGGTGAGTGTGTGCAGGCGTGAGTGTGACAGCATGTGTGTGAGGGTGTGGACATGTGTGTGAGGGTGTCAGTGAGACAACATGTGTGTGGATGTGAACACATGTGAGGGTATGTGAGCATTGTGTGAATGTGTGTGCACGAGTGTGCACATGTGTGAGCATATGTGTGTGAGTGTGGGTATATGTGTGCATGAGGTGTGTGAGCATGTGTGTGAATGTGGGTGTGAGTGTGTGTCAGTAAGAGAACATGTGTGGGCATAGGAACATGTGTGAGCATGTGAAAACATGCATGAAAAGCATGTGAGTGCGTGAGTGTGAACATGTGTGAACATGCATGAGTGTAGATGTGTGAGTGTGGGTATATGTTTGTGAGATGTGTGAGTGTGTATGTGTAAGTGTGTGAATGTGGTTGTATGTGAGTGTGTGGGGTGTGAATGTGTGTGAGTGTATTTGAGTGTGTCAGCATGTGTGAGTGTGTATGCCCACAGATTGGCATTCAAGTGGCGTATGCACAGAGAATTTGTGCACTGGTGTCTGGATTCAGGTTCTCATCAAAATAGCCCCCAAGGCCTCTCTTCAAAGTCAGGAGATGACACACGACCTGTGGGCTCAAAATGGCATGGAAATGGTCCAGAAGGGCATCGCCTGGGCCAGCCCTCAGCTTAACAAGGGATAGAAAGAACAGTGTGGCAAGTTGATTGCAAAAATGGCCCCAGTTCTATACCCTTCCATGTATCCACATCTCTTGCAGCTGGAGCTGGAGTCTGTTTTCCCAAACCCTTGAATCTGGCCTGCCTTGGGATTTCCTGTGCCCGTAGAATGCAGCAGAAGTGGTCTTGCACCAGTTCTGACCTGAGGCCCCAGGAGACCTTGCCTGCTTCCGTTCTCTCTTGAAAATCTTCAACCACCATGGAACCTGTCCGGGCTAGCCTGCAGGAAGGGGAGACACAGGGAGAAAATCTCAGTCATCCCCGCTGAGGCCCCATACATGTGAGAGAAATGGTGGCCAAGTTTACCTACCTGACCCTCCGCTGAACCCAAACACACGAAGAGTCTGGCCATGCCCACATCAGATCAGGAGACCTGCCCAGCAAAAATAAATGCTACTTGTGATGTGCCAGTTAGGTTTTATAGTTGTTTGTTATGTAATCCTGTTGTTGTGAATGCTACTGAAGCAATCAGTTTCTTTTTGGTGGCCTTTTCATCTCTCACATAAGCAACGCCCTAGGCCAGGGGCTAAACTGGTGTTGGGGAGTCAGGGATAATTCCCCCTCGCTGGTTTTTCCCTTAAGGTTCTTATGTCTGGCCAAATAATTAAAGTGGCAGTTTAGCAGAAGAAAAATAAACAAAGTTTAATAGTGTGTATACATGGGAGAGACCCAGGGAAAGTGAGTAACTCAATAAAACGGCAGAGGTTCTCTTCTTAAATAGACTCGGGTAAAGACAAAGGAAGATGTTGGGGGTGGGGGGTGTCAGCTATGGGAGATTACGAGAAAAGCACAGTAAACAAGAGTAAGGTTACCATGCAGATCTAACGGCTCGCCTTCCGCATTGACAAGTTGCTAGAGTTGAGGTCATCCCCCCCCTTCCCAGTACAGAGAGGGAGGTACCTCAACAAATGGAGATTTCCCCTACAAATGTAAATGTTTGGTAAACAGAACTTTGAGAAGAATGGGCTTAGCAAGGACCCTCCCAGTCTATCGATACCCAGAGTTATCTGTGGTGATGGTTTACCCTGTGGACAGGCATCTTATCTTAAATTCTTTTAGGTAGTTTGGGGGAAGGTCAAATGTCCTTCATGATTCTTCTGAGCCTTTGTTGTCTTCAACTCGAAATAATCCACATACCAGAGTGGCGCATCTTAGGGCTACCTGCCCTGAACTCCATCACTAGCTGTGCCGACCCTTTAAGAAATAGGAACAGCAGGAAGAATGGAAGTGTCCAGACTCTGAGCCCAGCACTAAGCACCCACTGTTTGGTGCTATGTTATCCCAGCTGCCTCTGGGTGTCCTGCCCATCTCTAAATCTCCAGCTCCTCGCAGAGTGCTGACTGTGTTGAATGGGTGAATGCATATAGGTTGAGCTCATGCTAGGAGCTGGCCAGGTGTCCAGTGGGGTGCATGACAGATCTGGTTTCTGACTCACAAATGGAATCGAATTGAGCTTTGCAAGGTACCAAATGAAACCAGAAGATGCAGGAAAGAGGGAGGAACCTCCTTGGAAAGAATAGGAAATCACAAAACATCAGAGCTAGAAGGAACTTAAGAGAGCAGCTGGCTAGACCTTCTCCTAAAGATGAGGCAGTGGAGGCCCAGGGAGGGGAAGGAGTATGCTTGAGGCCACACAGCAAATCCATCTGGCCCTGAAACCTATGTGGGGGATCACAACTGGCCAACCCAAAATGTGTCTCTTTGGCTTGATTATTTTTAAGGACAAAAGACACTGAAAGAAAGTTTGACCATCCTCCTAACTGCCGAAAAGAATGTAAGATAGAAGGCCTGTCTCCAGGACAGGCCATCACTGTAAATAAGTCTGGACATGATAGACTGGGAAGATCCTTACTAAGCCCATTTTTATGAAAGGTCTCTCTCTCAGGTCACATTGTCTATATATGGCCAAACAAACATTTGTTTCTCAAACATTTGCTTTTCCAACTCTGTGTAAATTGCCTCCCTCCCCTTTGAAGTCCCAAACCACTACTCCCAATGTCCTCTTTTGTCTTCAGCTGAAGATGCTATTTAAAGTATTGGCTTCTGCCATTTTGGCGAGTTACTCAGTTTTCCTGGGTTTCTCCCATGTATACATGTTATTAAACTATATTTGATTTTCTCCTATTATTCTGTCTCATGTCAATTTAATTCTTAGACCAGCCAGAAGGACCTAGAGGGTAGAGGATTAGTTCTTCCTCCCCTATGCCTGGATGGACTGACTTATGGCTGAGGGGGGAGGAATAATATCCTCTACCCACTGGGTCCTTTCTGTGGGGCTACAAATTAAATTGACATGAGACCAAATAGCAGAAGAAAATCAAACAAAGTTTCATAACATGTATACATGGGAGAAACTCAGAAAATAGAAACTGAGCAACTTGTCATTCTGACCAAGCTGTTCCTTAAGTATATTCAGCTAAAGGTGAGGAGGGTGTTGGGGGTTGGTGGTTTGGGATTTTAGAGGGGAAGAAGACAATTCACATGGAGATGGAAATGCAAATGTTTGTCAGACAACTCTTTACAGGGCCACCTCTAGAAAATGTGGCTGGAGAGACAGAATTTTTGATAAGGAGGGTTTGTTAGTGCCTTTCTTATGGCAACATCTATTTTACATTCTATGACAGCCATCATGTGGTAGTGGCTCCTTCCTGGAACAGGTCTTCTATGTTAAATTCTTTAGGCAGTTAGTGGGGGAGGTCAAACGTCCGTCAGAGAAAATAATCAAGGTAAAGAGACATATTTTGAGGTGGCCAATTTTGATCCCACACATGGCCAATGGTGGGTTCAATGAAACTTTTGCTGACCTCTGCCCCTGATAGCTGGACAGGAGAGATTTTATCAATTTTACACCCTCCCCCAAAGACCAAGGATCTGACTGGGGAGTGGGAGGAAGGCAAGGAAGGGGCTGGCCTCTGTGGGGTCATCCTGGGTCCAGCCTCCAGGGACTGCTACTTACCCTTGTGTTCTTTACCCTCTATATCCATTCCCTTCCTCAGACAAGTGCACTCGACTTGGGCTTATGAAGTGACCCAAATTGGAGAGAAAAAGAAACTACTAACGTTCTGACCTCCTCGTGTATGAATTTCTTGGGATCAAATGTAGGAGATGATCCAAATGACATGTTCCACTGTGACTGGTTTGAGGTATGCATTGGCCCAGGGATAAGTTTTGGAGGATTCTGAGGGTCCTCAAGCATAGTCTGGAGATCCGTAGTGTGGGGGATCAGAAGTGGCCACCCCAAAATGTGTCTCTTTGGTATGAGGATTATTACTTTTAAAAACTGCAGACATGGGAGAAGCTCTAAAAAGTAGAATATACCCTTTGTAAGATACATTTACATTTGTAAGGGAAATCTCTACTTGTAAAGGTCTCTCTCGCTCTGTACCAGGAAGAAGGGAGGATAACCTTATCTCTAGAAACTCTTACCAATACAGAAGTTGAGGGCTTAAATCTGCATAATAACCTTACTCTTGTTTACTGTGCTTTTCTGGTAATCTCCTATGGCTGACTCCCCCCACCCCCAACATCCTCCTTTGTGTTTAGCTGAAGATGGTATTTAAGATGAGAGCCCCCACCGTTTTGGCAAGTTACCCAGTTTTTCCTGGGTCTCTCCCATGTATACATGTTATAAAAGTTTGTTTGATTTTCTCCTGTTATTCTGTCTCATGTCGATTCAATTCATATCCCAGCCAGAAGGACCCAGAGGTTAGAGGATTTGTCTTCCTCCTCTACAGTAGTTCCCAGTGAGTTCTGGATACTCTGGGTCGGGGCTGCAAACTGTCCATTCCTACTGGCTACTGGAGCACAGTGGGTTGACTCTGAGCATTTTTCACTCCCACTGGATTCTGGATGAGTGGGTTCTGTAAATTCACTCTTCCTGTATCACCCTTTGTCACTCTTGATGAAGTTGAATAAGTGGTCATCCCCAAAGGTTGCCTTCCCAAGGCTTCCAGAAGCCACAGAGTTCCTGGGCTGGATGACACGGACATTACCTGGGTCAGTAATGCCAGGCACACAGTTGGGTCCAATCTCCTGCTCGGTCATGGTGTTACAACTGTTACAAAACACTTAAGAAGGTGCATTTTCTCTCCTCTGATAAAATGAACAATGCAGCTTACCCCATTCTTTAGTTTCATATTCATTAAGATAAAAATCACCTACCATGATATTATACAATATAAACTTCTTGTTTTCCTTGTATTCTATGTTCTTGGGACATGCTGTTTTCTTTTTATGAGTTTAGATTTGCAAGACTAGGTTTCCTGAGGCTACTTAGCTCCTTGTAGATACTTTGTAGATACGATCTGGGTAGTGGCTTTGTTCAGGGCCCTGAGATTGATACTTCAATCTGCCTGCCTTGAGTTTTCTGAGAGAGCAGAGGATACCTCTCCATCCTGCCTCCTGCCCTGGGCACAGCTGGTTGGCCTGGGGATGGACAACTGTCCCCAACTGGGCTGATAGTTTTCCTGGGAATTTGGGATTGGACCCAAGGACAGTTGTGGGATGGGAGGCTATGCAGAGCAACCCGTGATAGTGCATCTGAGATTCAAATTTATTTTTTTCTGACTGCTATCTTCATTTCACTATGTTTTCATTTCTCAGAAAGAACGCTTTATCTACCAGCTGACATACGAATGGCGGAATGTTCGGCAGGGTAAACCGAGACCCTGGCAGGCAGTGTGGGCCACTTCTTCCTTGGACTTTGAGCTCATTCCTTGCTTTCTCGAAGGCAGCAGGTCTTCCATTGGGGTGGTTTACAGTAATGATTACAGCAGCCATGGGTGTTTATGCCTCGTAGCCCTGTAGATATCAGGCAATTCCTCCAGCAATCCATTATTGCTACAACTAACCATTTTGCAGATGAAGTAACTGTTAACCTAAAAATAAAGAGCCAAAATGAGAGGCAGAGAGGCATTTAATTTGAGATCAAAGAATTGCAATTTGGGGTACACAGATTCGGGTAGCAACTCAAATACTGTCCTGCTAGGGAGTAAGAGTCAGGAGATTTTAAAGGCAAAGGAGGGAGATTTGCATTACAAAGAATGTTAATTGGGGTTGGAAGCAGAAAACTAATCTTGGCTAAACATAATTGATTTCTAAGGCTAGAGGAGGCAAAAGTCCATCACTGTGAGGAGCTACATGTTTCTTGCAGGTTCTCAAAATATTTGTGTCTTGACCCAGTACAAAAGTTCATGTTCTGCCCGATGATGACTTGCATAAGACCCATTTCCTTAATGGCTTACAATTAAAAGCTTTTTTTTTTTTTTTTTTTTTTGCTGAGGAAGATTGGCTCTGAGCTAACATCTGTGCCCATCTTTGTCTATTTTGTACGTGGGATGCCACCACAGCGTGGCTTGTTGGGCGGTGTGTCGGTCCACACCCAGGATTCAAATCTGCGACTGATGAAGTGGAACGCATGAACTTAACCACTATGCCACCAGGCTGGCCCCCAAAAGCCATTTTAAAGCCCTTAGACATAAGTGATCCCATTTTGTTTCACATTTCACATAACTGAGGCTAAGAGAGGTCAAGTAACTTGATCACAGTCGCACAGCTAGGAAATGCTGAAGCTGAGATTTGAACCCAGGTCTGTCCACCTTCAATTTTCATAATGAATACTGTGCTAAATGTTATACTCTGCTTCATGATATAAAAAAAATGGATTATTTCTGTCTTCTTTTTTCAGAGCACCCTTCCTTCTTACACGTGTGAAAAACAATACCACAATAGACTTGGCAATTGGCACGGGCAGCTGAGTCCTGTGATGGACACTCCTGAGACCCCTTCTGTTCCACCTACTGTCAAGAACAAAGGGAGGTGGTTCTGTCAGGAGCCTTTGTATCAGTTCTAGATTGAGGTCCTAAATAAACCTGATCACAAGGTACCTACAGCTGGACTTAGTGGGGGTGGTCGGGGGTGGGGTGAGCCAGAAGATGCCCTGCAGGGTTTCCAGCATTCTATCTTAAGATTGCTGTGTCCATGCAGAGATATGAGCTGGTTTTGAGAACCTGTCTTGACTTTTCAGTTGCCTCCCAGTTGGCCAAACTCTGCATTTCCAAGGTTAGGTTGCTGCAAGCTCTATCTGGCTGGAGTACACTAGTCTATCCCAAATGCTTTTATAAAAAGGCACTAGGTGGACCCCTGACACATTGCTGCTCCCCGGAGACAGTTCCAGGGCCTGTCGAGGTCCCATGTCTCTCTTGGTGTGATCCAGTCTCCGTCAGAGTCATGCAGAGGAAATCGTAGAAGTCTTATCTCATAGTCCTGGGGAGCCTTTGAAATCTTCCTCAGATTCTGTGGGCCTCTGAAATGTGGTCTAGAAATTCCTGGTGGAGGAAGAAAAATTCCATTTCTTTTTGAAGCCCCAGAGTCCTTTTTGCAAGTTCATTTAAGAGTCAAACAATGATTAATTCTCTGGTTTCCAAGTCGAGTTCATTTGCTCCTCAGAATATTTAAGGCCTTGGTCAGGATGGGATTCCACGGGAACTTCTTCCAAAGTCTTTCTTTGAGAAATTGAGAGATCCAGAAGTGGGTCCTTAAGGTCTTATAAACCAATAAATTACACTTAGTAAGCAATTAACATGTATTTATTGAGTGTCTGTTGTAGGTGAGATGGTCTGCTGGATGCTGGCGTACAAAGCTCTCTAGAAGTTTACAATGAGTTGGCAAGACAAAATATAACCATCGTTGGATAATCGTAGTACAAGTTATAGCTGAGGACGGACAGATAGCCAGACCACCCATGATGAAGTAGTTGGGAGACGTGTCAAAGAGGTGGGCTGGTCCCTGGAGGTTTGTGAGTGGTGGGACATTGAATTGGATATTCAGCTTAGATTGGACATTGAAAGGAGGGTCAGATTAAAGCTGTAAAAAAAGACACAGTGTATTCCAGAAGAGTGCAAACAGAGGTGTGGGTGAATGTTGAAGGGTAGCAGAATATGCCACTCTAAAATATGCCTCTTTGACATAATAATTATTTTGAGCTGATCATTTGAGAAACAGCAGACACAGGAAAATCTCTGAAAACAGAATAGAAGTTATCCTTTAGTAAGGGAAGTTTACATTTATAAAGAAAATCTCCATTTGTACGGATATCTCCCTCTCTGTATCAGGAAGGGAAGGATGAACAAATCACAAGAAACTCTTATCAGTGGAGACAGCAGGGCCTTACATCTGTGTAACAAATCTTACAAACTTTACTCTTGTTTACTGCACTTTTCCTTGTCACCTCCCCATTACTGGCTTCCTCACATCTTCCTCTCTTTTTTCTTTAGCTGAAGATGGTATTTAAGACTGAATTCTAAGAGAGTTACTCATTTTCCCTGGGTATCTCCCATGGATACATGTGGTATATTTGTTAATAAACTTTTGTTTGTCTTTCACTTGCTAATCTGTCTTTTGTTACAGGGGCCCCAGCTGAGAACTTAGAAGGGTAGAGGAAAATTACTTTTTCCTCCCCTATAATGTCCACATCTAACTCATTCTTTTTTAAAATTATTTTATTTTATTTTTTTGAGGAAGATTGGCCCTGACCTAACATCTGTTGCCAATCTTCCTTCTTTTTTCAGTTCTTTTTTCTCCCCGCAGCCCCAGTAGATAGTTGTATGTAATAGTTGTATATCCTTCTAGTTGCTCTATGTGGGATGCCACCCCAGCATGGCTTGATGAGCGGTGCATAGGTCTGCACCTGGGATCAAACTGGTGAACCCCAGGCTGCGGAAGCGGAGCACACGAACTTAACCTCTGTGCCACTGGGCCGGCCCCTAACTCATTTTTCAAGACCCATCTTGAAATCTTTTCCTCTACGAAGCCTTCCTTGAAATTTCCAGTCAAAATAAATCTCTTTGATACCTGAATGTCTCAAATATCAACAGCCTTATAGGCTCACCCTTTCCTTTAGTTTTACATGGCCTGGCTAATGTCCCCATCCTATACATGGTAACCTCACTCCCAATAACTTGGAGGATTTGGGGTTGTGGATTATGCTTTTCTTAGTCGCCTCTTGCCCAAATGTCCTGCTTTCTGATCTTGTTCATTCTTGATCTTGTACATACCCTGGTCTTCCTCATATCTCCCTTTTCCAGCTGTTTCTCCAGTCCACGTGGATTCAGTCATGGAACATGGCTCTTTGTTATGGGTTGAACCAAGTACCCCCTCCATCCCAGCCTCCCCACCCAGTAAAAAGATATGTTGGAGTCCTAACCTCCAATACCTCAGAATGTGACCTTATTTGGAGACAGGGTCATTACAGAGGTAATTAAGTTAAAATGAGGTCATTAGGATGGGCCGTATTCTAATGTGACTGGTGTCCTTATAAAAAAGGGAAATTTGGACACAGACAGGCATGCACACAGGGAGAACACCATGTGAACATGAAACCAGAGATTGAGGTGATGCACCTACAAGCCAAGGAAAGCCAAAGATTGCCAGCAAACCACCAGAAGCTAGGCAAGATGCATAGACCAGAGCCTCCCTCACAGTCCCAGAAGGAGCCAGCCCTTCTGACACCTTGATCTCAGACTTCTAGCCTCTAGAACTGTGATATATACATTTCTGTTGTTTAAACCACCTAGTTAGTAGTACTTTGTTACAGCAGCCCTAAAAAATGTTGCGAAGGGGAAAATTACTCTCCTTCCCTTCTTGATTCTTTTGGCTGGTTGAATAGTTAAAATGACATAAGACAGATTGACAGGAGAAAATAAAATTTAATTATGCACATACAGGAAATCCACGTTAACATGAGAGATTTCAAAGACAGTCAGGCAAAATGAGGTATATACGTCATTCTGGACTAAGGAGAAGGGGGCAAAGGTCTGGGATTCCAAAGGGAGGGAAGGCAATTCACAGGAAGAATGAAAAGAATAAGTGTTTGGTAAACAAATGTTTACTGGGCCATCTAGAAACAATGGGACCCAGAGAGGAGTTTGATCAAACAGGCCTTGCTAGGTTCCTCCCTGTCTACCACACCCAGTTCATATTATACTGGAGTTACCTACACTGATGTCTCTTTCCTGGAACAGGTCCTCTACCTAAATTCTTTTAGG